TATTTTACAAATGTTACGGCTAAAAAAAATATTTAAGTGATAAAAATTTTGCTTTTGTTATCTTTGTAGTATACATATTTTTAAATTAAAATATATTAAATGTGATCGTTTTTATCGCGTATCAATTTTAGACTGTGACAAAAAAGAAATTAAATATGTGATTAGAAAAAATAGGGATAATCGAAAAGACAACGAACTGATTTTAGTCGCGAGTACATTAGGGATGTGACTTTTTGGTAAATTTTTGGTATCTCCAGTTTCCAATATAAAAAAAAGATGAACTGTGGTTTGAAAGTAACGGAAAAGTCATTGGTTTTTACAAACGCAGGTTAGAAAAGATGCACAGTAACTTTGCGCAGTAACGCAGTAACACAGTTAACGCGAGCATACATAATTTTGGTGTAAGCAAAAAACTAGTTCTTAATGCATAAGTGGCACGAAAGAGAAAAGCCTGTTGTTACTAGTTTTGTAGATTAATACAACAGTTAGGATGATAAGAGTCAAACTAAGGATAATTTTTCAACTATTCTTTTCTTTGAACATAAATGCTGATGACTCCGAATTCAATGGACAAACTTGGCAAACTGCCTTTATGCTGTTGCAACAAGTTGTGCAAAGCGAGTACGGTTTTATTAACATATTCCCAAATAATGTCTTATATGGATTAGTTATTGAGAATAATGCAATTTTAAGATAGTGATTATGCCAGCATAAATTTGTAAATCTCTGCAGCACTGATGAAATTGGATGACACCAAAAATATTTATGTTAAATTGCTAACATGCTAAATTTTATTGTGAGTTAAAAAAACAATTGTTTTTTTTTGTCTCTTTTTTTTTATTTAATTCAATTTTCTTTAACTATTTTAAATTTTTATGTACCACTATAAATTTATAAATATTTAACTATGTTGATTGAATTATCTTATTACAACAATATTATATTACATATTCTTTAAATTTTCAAAAAACATATATATATATATATATATATATATATATATATATATATATATATATATATATATATATATATATATATATATATATATATGTCAACTTTTATATTTATAAGTAATTCAAAGGAATATGTTTAGGATCATGAAGTTGAACAGAATTAATTGTCAATCTCACCAAAGAACTCAAAACACTTCGAGCATTATTGGCAGGGCCGGCGCGAGTAGGGGTGTGGTGCCATTACAACTTTTGCCGACTTAAAAAAAAAAAAAAAATTCTCGTTTTTTAAAATTTACCGACTGCCATAACGACATTTGCCGACTGACTTTACCGACTAACCTATCGACAGGGTCTACATTTGCCGACTAACTACTCAAAAAGGGTCACATTTGCCGACTAAGGGTCAAATTTGCCGACTAAATATCATTGATGGGGGGAAGGGGGGTGTCACACACCCCCCTATTGCGCCTGCCTTGATTATTGGTAAAAATTATGTTGAATAGGTATTATGGATGGCAACAGAAAAAAAAAAAAAATTGACAAAAGTATAAACCTCGGATATTAAATGCCATAGAATAAATAAAAATGTCTCCTAACAAACAGAAAGTCCTAAAGATGAAGGTCATCTTGTGGGCAGCTGCCTTGTACACGTACATGTATGTTCTTTTTAGTTGCTAAATCAATTTTGGTAGTGATGGTTATTATTTTTGAACCCTTTAAAAACATTTATTTAATATATTTAAATAGAGAGCATTTATTTCGATATATTTTACAATTGAGAACATTCTTATGCTCTTCATTTGCACTTACCATTTTTTTTATTTTCATGTATATTGCAGTTTATGTAAATATTGAAGTATTTTTTATATTTATTTTGTTCATAATTTTTAATTTTAGCAATATTTTTTTCTTTTGTAAAACATTTGCAGAAAAACATCTTTTTAAAAGTACTTTTGCGCAAAACCCGCTATTGCAATTGTATAACTTTGCATAACAATTGCATGACTTTGCATAACAATTGCATAACTTGACTTCACTTAAAAAAATTGGTTACCATGTAAAATCTCCGCCCTCCTTAAAATGAGGGAGTTATAAGTTACACATGGTAAAAGTTACAAATTTAAGTTAAATAAGTTAGATTTAAGTTATATATATATACATATATATATATATATATATATATATGCATAAGCGCAAATTGGCATAAGTGCAAAGCGTTGCAAAAACTGGCATAAGTGCGAACTGGCGTAACTGCAAAATGGCATTAGTGCGCCAAATAAATTTGCAAACATTGGCATAAGTGCGAGCTAGCATAAGTGCGAATTGGCATAAGTGTGAAACACTAATTTGCACTTATGCCAATATTTGAAATTTTATTTGGCGTACTTATGCCAATTCGTATTTATGCCAGTTCGCACTTATGTCAGTTTTTGTAACTGCTTCGCACTTATGCTAGTTCGCACTTTTGCCAATTCGCACTTATGCCAATGTTTGCAAATTTGTTTTGCGTATTTATGCCAACTCGCACTTATGCCAGTTCGCATTTCTACCAGTTTTTGTAACTGCTTTGCACTTATGCTAATGTTTTCAAAATGTTTTGGCGCACTTATGCCAATGGTATATATATATATATATATATATATATATATATATATATATATATATATATATATATATATATATATATATATATATATATATATATATATATATATATATATATATATATATATATATATATATATATATATATATATTTATATATATATATACCATGTGTTATTTATAACTCCCTCATTTTAAGGAAGGCAGAGATTTTACATGGTAAAATCTCCTTAAAAAGATTATTAAATCAAAGTCAAAACCTGTCAATGAATTCAAGTTATTACAATATGAATATAAAACTATATTTGATTATTCGTTGCGTTCACAACTGTGGTTTGGAGACTAAGTTTTTGGGGGTGATTTTATTGCAAGTCTCCAGTTATCGCAAAATTTTTAAAACGTTTTCATTTAACATAAATATGAACATAGTTAAGTTGGAGTTTGCAAAATACCTTTAAGTGTAATTTATAAACATTGAAAAAATTAAAATTTCAGAAAACATTATGTGTTATTTAACGGCCAGTTTTTGCAACGCTTTGCACTTATGCATATATATATATATATATATATATATATATATATATATATATATATATATATATATATATATATATATATATATATATATATATATATATACATATATATATACTATATATATATATATATATATATATATATATATATATATATATATATATATATATATATATATATATATATATATATATATATATGCATAAGCGCAAATTGGCATAAGTGCAAAGCGTTGCAAAAACTGGCATAAGTGCGAACTGGCGTAACTGCAAAATGGCATTAGTGCGCCAAATAAATTTGCAAACATTGGCATAAGTGCGAGCTAGCATAAGTGCGAATTGGCATAAGTGTGAAACACTAATTTGCACTTATGCCAATATTTGAAATTTTATTTGGCGTACTTATGCCAATTCGTATTTATGCCAGTTCGCACTTATGTCAGTTTTTGTAACTGCTTCGCACTTATGCTAGTTCGCACTTTTGCCAATTCGCACTTATGCCAATGTTTGCAAATTTGTTTTGCGTATTTATGCCAACTCGCACTTATGCCAGTTCGCATTTCTACCAGTTTTTGTAACTGCTTTGCACTTATGCTAATGTTTTCAAAATGTTTTGGCGCACTTATGCCAATGGTATATATATATATATATATATATATATATATATATATATATATATATATATATATATATATATATATATATATATATATATATATATATATATATATATATATATATATATATATATTTATATATATATATACCTGTGTTATTTATAACTCCCTCATTTTAAGGAAGGCAGAGATTTTACATGGTAAAATCTCCTTAAAAAGATTATTAAATCAAAGTCAAAACCTGTCAATGAATTCAAGTTATTACAATATGAATATAAAACTATATTTGATTATTCGTTGCGTTCACAACTGTGGTTTGGAGACTAAGTTTTTGGGGGTGATTTTATTGCAAGTCTCCAGTTATCGCAAAATTTTTAAAACGTTTTCATTTAACATAAATATGAACATAGTTAAGTTGGAGTTTGCAAAATACCTTTAAGTGTAATTTATAAACATCGAAAAAATCCTTCCTACGCCACTGATGGCCTCAACACAATCTAGTAAGTTTTATGTAGGGCAGTGTAGATAAGTTTTATGCAAAACAGTGTCACAAAATATGTTTTATCATGTTTGCAATGCAAAAAAGTTGTAGATAAGTAAAGTATGAATAATCAAACAATAGATGTTGCTTTTCTTAGCAAAACTAACATAAAATAGCTAATACAATATATACATTTTGGCAATATGAATTTTCTTAAAAAAGGTACACACGGTTGTTGAGACTAGCCATAAAGTTCTGTGACCGATAAAAACTAATTCTGATTATACTTTTATTAACCTATTTAAAGTAATTGAAGGTTTTATAAATATTCATTTTATATAATGAGTGCTGAAAACTAATTTTTATTTAAAGTCAAGAAGCTTATTTTAATAAACTGTTTTCTCACACGCACTACTTGTATCAAACATGGCAATGATAACATTTTCAGAAAGAGCATCATAATAATTGAAAGATTTTTGATTGGCAAAACAAACTATTTGGACTTCTTTAGACGGGGGTTATATTTTTGTTTCGTGAGAAGTATTTGTGCTTTTCTATTCTACAAAATTTTTTTTTGTGTGCATGAAATCAAAACTGTCCTGATTTCATTCAAAATTTATTTGCACTTATTTTTTGTAAAAAAGGTTCCAAAGTTAATAACTTTAATATTTATTTGCGTGTAGTTTCCGTTAAATAACACATAATGTTTTCTGAATTTTCCGGTTGTCGAGCAAATGTTTGGTATACAGAAAATGAGGAGATCTATCATCGCTTCAGTAGCTTTTTAAACAGTTAAACACTTACTGTTCATAGCGGGAATAGCCGTTTTTTGGAAAAAGTAAGTCAATGATATCTGAGGTTGATTTATTTTATAATAAGAGTTCATGTTGCGATGTAAACAAAATAAACTGCTTCTGTTTAGGGCTTCAAAATGAGATCCTCAACAGTATGGTTGTTTTTAGCGCTGTTATCGGTGGCATTGAGCACAGAGGTTAAAGGTAATAAACATCTACAAACAATTCTTAGTAGTCCTGGTCCTAGTAAATATTGTTAAAAATTTTACCTGCCCTAACTTACTAGATTGAATAACAAAATATACTAGCAGTTAGCATTAACATTGAAATAAAAAATATTTTGCAGTTTTATTAAAACAGCCATATTGAAATAAAATGATACAAATCAATGGCAATTTTATTAAAACTTATTACAACTTTATTAAAACAACAATTTACAACCGTATTGAAACAACAGTTTGTAAACATATTGAAAAAACATTGACCGTATTAAAATAGCAATTTGTAACTATATTAATATAATATAGGTTAAGGGTAATAATTAGTTGCTGTCCTTTTCAAATAAAACAGATTTGTTTTAAGTTTTTATCATATTTAGTAGAGTATATTTATAACAGTTTATCATCTATAATGGTATATTTGAATAAAGTTTTTAAAAGCACGCCACTAAGTTAATATTTCTGAGTAGAAAAATGTAAGTAGTAGACATCAATGATAATTGTGGATTAATTAAATTTAGCTCTACATCTGAAAAAATACTAATTAGCGACACATAAAAGGCACTTATTTAAAAATAATTTAATATTTAAAAGACACCATCAGAGGCAATTCTGTATATAAAATAAAGGGGTATGGGTAGGGGAATCCTTGAAAAGCACCGACTGCTTAATAAAAAAAAAAAATTCCTCAAAACTATAAACCACCTAACTCAAATGTATCAAATACCCAATTAGCCGACTATATTCCCTAAAAAATCAACTATAATTTGCCTTCTTTAAGGGGGACGGTGGATATGGCACCCCAAACCCTCCCTCTCCCTGCATCCCCCGTGTAAGCGTCTCTGAACGCCAGTTGGTTACGTAATTTTTTTTTTACATTTAAATATCCGTATTACATCTTTGTTTAAGCTGAAGTAACGATTCTTAAGCCATTTTATGGTGCTCGTATAATTATTTTTTTCGTGTTGTAAAACAGATGTTGCGCGTCTTGTTGCAGCAGTTTTTTGTTTTAAAGCAACTTCCATTAAGCTGAGATAGTGAACTTGATATTGTTGGGAAAAACACGGGACAATAGCTTCTTTAGCTCGCATAGTAATATCTGCAGAGAAAAAAAAGAAAGAGAAGTAACGTGAGAAAAATTTGCGTTTTTGTACATTATTCAACTTGAACAATCATAATTTGAAGAGTCTCAACAGAATCCAGATATGAGTACTATAATAAAAGATACAAGGAAAAATATTATATTCAGACAAATATTCGAGGGAGTGAATAGAATAAGGTTTAAAAAAATGACAAGCATAATAAAAAGAGATAACCTTAGAAGTTGCCAATTTTAAAATAGATTTAACATATGGTTTTTTATATATGGTCAAGACAATGATAATCCAAGAAAACTTGCAGTAAAACTGTACATTACATTTAGAAGTATCAAGATTATTACATTATAGGTTGCAGAATTGAAGTATCAAGATTATTACATTATAGGTTGCAGAATTGAAGTATCAAGATTATTACATTATAGGTTGCAGTATTGAAGTATCAAGATTATTACATTATAGGTTGCATGAAAATAACTGAGCTTTATTTAAATTAAAGTTCATCAACCACTGTTAGTTTCTGGCTTACAAAGAAAAAATTGCGTTTAAGATGGATGCTTGTTTTAAATAATTATAAAGTAAAGACAGAAAATTATTTTGTATAAAAAATCATAAGATAGAATAATATATGAAAACAATATAGGTCAGGATCTTAAAAATCGATTTTCATCTTTCCAATAGTTATTAAGGTCCCAAGAGAAATAGAATATAGACTTTTTTTTAACGCTATTTAAAAATACAAGTAAGTAGTTAGGATTAATAAGCTATAGTAATAAATTTAAAAAAAGGGAACTGTCGGGGTGAGAGGCAGTGCCGCCGAGAGGAAGGAAGGGGGGGGAAGGGTTACGAGGGACAGTTTGTCCTGGGCGGCAGATATCCAAGGAACGCCAAATGAAAAGAAGGTACCTAAAAAAAAAGATCTTTCATATATAATATAAGGAAATTTTGATAAATAAAGTCGCCAATGAGGTTTGCTTTCCCAGACGACGTGACGGCTTTCGACGGTCCAGGTTAGAGGTTGCAAAAAAAATGTAGTTTGAGTATTAATTGCTGCAGCGTCAGTAATATTTGACCCAACCTGTTTAGTATGACGAGGGTTTTTTACATTAAATCGAAGATTCACTAACTAGAAAATATTTGAAAATACAAAGAAAGATAATCAATAAAGAAGAAGAAAATGCAGTGAAATAAAAAGGAGTGAAGCAAAATTAGATATCAGAATAGTAAAAAAAGCCAAAACTGATTTCACAACATTTAATATTCATTAACACTGCAATTCAAAGATGGAATTAGATAATTTCACAGAAAGTTTCACAAAAAGCAAGTAGATCTGGAGAACAAATTTATCTTTTCAAAAAGTTTATGAAATAAAAAAAATTTCTTTGGTAGCCATTAATATTGGATAAATATTGATTAAAAAAAATCTATGACTATCGATTTTATGTTAAAGACTTTTACTTACTTGAGACTTTATTGATTTAAATTATTCTAATAAAATTAACTTTTACTAGACATTTTTATTATTTTATGATTTAGGTGCCCCAAGATGACCTATAGGTCTTGTCATAGGGCTCCGCGGAAGAGCATTTAACTATGAAAATTACGCCTCCTTCCAAACCGATGGCGCAAAATATGCCCAGAGCTCGCTTCAAACCCCGCAATTTTTGACATTTTAAATTAACAAAAAAGCAATTTTTTGTTAATTTAAAATGTCCTATTGATAAATTTGTAATTAAAAACTCCAAATGTGTTCTGAACATTGCAAACCTTAAGCACAAACTAGGACACCACCCGTGCGCAATATGACATTGATAATGCTTAAAACGCCGAGCCCTGTCTTGGTCTTTATTATATTTTATTGTCTTATTTGTTTATAAGTTGTTGTCCTATAAAAATGTTTTTTTCTGCAATACTTTTTCTCTATCTGCCAAATTCGACATTAGATTCAAAATCTTTTATTAGCAATGAAGATTTTCTTAATAATAGAGCGTACATTTTGGTAACAATCCTTTTTCAATTTTCAAAAATGCAGTATGCTTTTTACCCTAATACATTTCCATATTGTCTGAGTTATTGTAAAGAAATTAAATGTCTCAATTTATAAACAATGTAAATGGATAAAATAGTACTATTTGCCAGGGCCGACGACACGGGTTTCAAAGTGGAAAGGTACATTCGTCTTGGTACTAAATGCTTCATTCCACTATTGATTTCTATGCGTTTGCTTTTAACCAGAGAATGTGTGTCAATGAATATATGTTATCTCTCTTTTCTTACTTTATATAACACAGTTCTATGAGTGTCAAGTCAGCTGGAGACACACATAAATCAATCGAGACAAAAATGTATCAATTGATTTATGCTTGTCTCGATTGATTTATATTTGCTCTTCGTATTTACATAGTGCTGGTAATAATAAATCGCTCAGTGGAAAGATTGTTTTGCAAGATAAAGTTAATAAAAAACCAGTTGCGTACCTCAATGTTTCAAGAACAGTTCACTAACCTGACTTTTATGAGTTTCAAAAATGACATCAAAAGGGAAATGAACTTTGATGACCATCAATAATTTTGCTAACCGAAAAGCTAGGAAAGTACATTTAAGATTTTTTACTAATACACAGTTCAAATCTAACAAATTACAACTATTTCTATAGAAAGCACTATTGCTGAATGAACACTATTTCCTCTACCATTTATTTATTTGATTTTATCAGTAATATTATGTCATTGAATAAATCACTAGATTGGAAAATGCATTATCAGTTATTCTTAAAAGTACGTAGAGGACCCAATACTAAATTTTAGCGCGGGCTCTGATATTTGTAAATCCGGCCAATGCATTAGTAGTTCTAAGATACAAGTGAGCTTAGAAATTTTAACCAACTCACCTTTTTGTCAAATTTTGAAGGATTTTGATAATTTCACATTCCGCAGTTGTTGTTTTTTACCTTAATAACTAACTTTATTCAATTGCTTTTGTATACGCTTTAATAAATTCTCAAAGTAAAAAAGAAATGAAATGTCATTAATAGTTAAAGGCAATCATTTTTTTCCAAAAGGTGCTCGGTTTATTCTATTGTTTTCATTAATTAAAGCAACCGTTTTTCTATCTATCTTTGTAATTTGGTTGAATAGCTTTAATGTCTGATTATTCACAAAATTTGATTATAAATTATTTACTGGTAACATTAAAATAAGAAACTTTTATATAATCTTGCAACTATGTAGCAAGATTATATTTATCTTTTACTTGCAATACTCCAAGATTATATTTATCTTTTACTTGCTAAACTAAGTCTCCGATGATAAGTTAGTACAAGTATAACATCATCCAATCATAATTTAAATCTTTAGTGAACATAATTGAGTTAAAAAAACAACACTTCAAATAAGAAATTATCATCAATACTTGTGAGTTTTGAACTTTTACAAGTCAGAGTAGCAATACTAGGCAGTAAAAAATCATTTCTTAATTGGTGATACAAGCCGTGATTATGCCATCGGTACGGAAGAAGGCGTTTTTTTACTCCAGTAAAATGTTGTAGTTAATGCTCTTCCACGGAGCTCTGCAACAAGGTTTTCTTATGACACCTAAAACAAAAAATTATGAACTCATATAGTGATGATAAAAAAAAAGCAAATCTGTTAAAAAAGAATGTAATTAAATTAATCTACAAAATAACATTGATTTATGGCCAGATATTTGTTTAATAAGTTTTAAAATGTTTTATCTTAATGCTGAAATAGAAAAACAGTACTGGTTAGACAAAATCTAAAACTTGCAACTCCCGTATGGATTCTAAGTAAACCAGACCATCAAAAATAAAACAAACAAGTCTAACAAGTTCGACTTAAAAATTAATAATATTTAAAAAATAATTTAAAAAAAGCATCTACAAAAGCAATTCTACAACACATAATGTATGGAATTGTCACGTAATTTTATTTTTATTTATTAAAATTTAAAAAATAAAAAATAATTTAAAATGTTACTGTCAAGTTATTACTAATAAATTTTAATTGATAAAACATTTTTATGATTAGGCAAAGAATTATTTATATTACATTATATACATATTTTTTACAAACCATAAATTTTTGTATAATTTGTTGGTTTTGTTTGTTTGTTTGTTTTTTTAATTATTTATCATGTTATCTAAAACGACTTATTTAAATATATTACTATATCACTATTTAGTTATTTTACCACAGAAATTACCATTACCATTGAAATTATTATTAAACTACACAAATTATTTTTAAATTAAGGGAAAAATTTTTAATAAATTAAAATGATAAAAATAGATTTAGATGCAGTCGATGAACAATCAACTAAAAGAGATGTTCCAACAGTAGCAGTTGGAGTACCTCCAACACTTGACGATGAAGGAAAGTGTAAGAATTTAAACCTTTATTGACGCATTTAAGTATTTAAAATTACGAAATATTTACAAAAGTAAATGATTGTTTTCTGATTTGCTTTCAAAAAATCTTCTGTAAGAGTATTTTTATAAAATGTTTTGCAAAAATTGTTTTAATTAATTTAAGTTATTATAACTTATTCATTAAATAATTAACAAATAATTTAATTATTTTTAGTAACAAATGTTACCATGAAAAAGCTTTTATCTGAAACAAATAGGTACCGTCTTATGCACGGTGTCACTCCCCTCGGTAGTTGTCCAGTTTGTTCAGAAGCAGCTCAAAAACACGCAGATGAAATTGCAGCCTCTGGTGTTGCAAAGCCTGATCATAATTCAAAATATGGTCAAATAATTTTTTCATCTAAAGATCCTGAAGATATAAATCAAGGAGCAGACTACTTTGGAACACTTGTTCCTGCTCGAATGTAAGCACATTAAAGTGTATTTATAATTTTTAATTAAATAGAAATTGTTTTATACTACTATAAATAAAAGATTTTTTTAAATGTTTGTTATTTAAATTATTTAATGCTTATCTGCAAAAGAAAGTTTTGTAAGTTTTTAGATATATCAAATAATTGTAATCAGGATAAAACTTTCGGAAGTGAAAATCGTTGCAATTGAACTTAAAATATTTTATTGTAAATTTTTGTGTACACAAGTAAAGAACTTTTTTTCAACGTTAAATTTGCTATTTCCGGTAAAAAGCTATTATTTAGTATTTATTAGGAATAACGGAAACAGATAAAGAAACGGATTTCCGTTAGGGATATATAAAAAACGTCAATTGTCAAATTTGTAAATGGGGCTTTTATTAATTAAGTATATATAAACTGACTAATGAAACTCTATAAATTCCTAATGTAAACTTTAAATCAATTATGATAAAATTGAAAATATCCTTTGAAAAAAGTTGTACGTAATGAAAAGAAACCCAATCGGCTTTTTGGTGTATAAATGCGTTCACCATCATATCATAACACCATCATATCAACGTGAGCTTTATTATTTCAACTAATTGAATCTATTTAAGTGCATTGCAACCACCCCTAATAACTAGACCTCTCAAACACTGCCTTCTGAACCTTCATTATAGAATCTACATAAATTATTTATTTTAATTAATCGTTCAAAGGGGCGAGTTAGGCAATCGCAAATTGCGTTTGGTCAAAGTAATTTAGCGATCATAAAGTATATAAATTGAAGCAATCGCAATCACTAGTTTTTTCATTCTTGGGTAAAAGTTTTAATGGAAAAAGGTTCCTCAAGTTTTAATACAACATTGATACAATATAACGGGCTAAAAAATAATAGGCTTTAATAATAAATTATTTAATCTCAAGAATTTTTTTCTTATTGCAGACTATATGTCTACCAACATCAGAGACCAAGACAAAATAAAAATATAAGGAATCTCTGTTTAAAATAAATGCGTGACTGTTCGGACCACGAGTATCACCAAAAATACTTGTCTTAAGCTTGCAATGATATATTATTATATGTCATTGATTATTAGTAGTAACCAGGGCCGTCCTTAGGAGATCTTAAAGGGGGGAGGGGTGGTTTGACATATCTGTTATGCCTATAAACATCCTACCTCCAACTACACAGCCAATTTTGTCAACTCCAGTGTCCAAATTTGCCGACTAAATAATTTCCTAGGGGTTGAACACCTTGGGAATACCCTGGTAATAACGAGCTTTTTCGTTTCTTTTTTTTTTTTATCTTTTTTTTACTTTTACTACTAATAAATATCCTTTATTTGTATTACCTGGATTAACATCTAGTTAATACAAACAATATTTGAAACAAAGCTGTAAGAGTCTTATGAAAAAAATTTTGCTATTTTTGTAACAGTAATTTTGTTGTTTTTTCTGTAAAAAATTTTGCGATCTGGTAAATTTAAGTTAATTTACCTGTTGTGTTCTCGTAATTACCTGTCGATTTGCGTTTTTATTTTTCTTAAATGTGAGGGTAGAATGAAATAATTCTGTTTTCAATTAAATAAATTTATTTTAATAATCAAAAAAAAAAAAAAAAAAAAAAAAAAAAATTGGATTTTTAGATTTCTTTATTTTTTCGCTAAACGATTATTTATTTGTTAAATGAATAAGCGTAAACAAATACTTTCGTTTAACAAACATTCGTAAGCCATTGATTTGGTGAACGAGTATAATAATCGTTAAAAGATTTAAATGAAAACGAACGAATATTTGTAACCATTTGACGATGTTCGTTAAAATATTCGCTTATAAGTAATCGTCACCTTACTCATGCTGTGTTATTTATCAGGCCGTCCCGAAGAAATCTTAAAAATGAAGGATGGGGGAAGGACAAAAGCTTAAAAATATTTTTGCCGACTAAAAAATAAATTAAAAAAAAAAAACGGTCCTCTTCAGCTAACATTTGCCGACTGCCAATTAAAGATCTCAATTCGCCGACAACTTCATGTGACAAAATTATTTTGGTGTTAGATATTTTACATGTTTACTAAAGATATTGCTGCCATTACCTGATAAAAAATTTAGTTAGTAATGTAATATTACTTATAGATAATTGATTTTGTTATTGGCGTGCAACTACCAATGTTACCCACTACTACACAGTGATCAGGAATAACTTAAAATTAGGCCAAAATTAATTTTTTTTGACAACATTTATTCAAAATTGTTGAAAATTCGCTCAATGATGTAAAAAAAGTAGACTAGGAAATAAGGCTGACAATCTTTAAAGACTTTATGTTAATAATCATAATACTAATATCAACATATTTTTATATGTTAATATAATAATAATATAAATATTAGCAATAAAAAACTGTAATGTAAAATCTACAAGTGGAACTAGATTTTATAGACTTTATTGGTAACCTCTTTTATTAATAAACTATTTTTACATTATAAATACATTTACACAATACATTATTTTGAGACTTTATTAGCGACCTCTATTAATAATACTATTACTAATAGTATTAGTAGGAAAGGTCACTAATAAAGTCAAAAAATAATGTAGTGGCTTCTGTGATAGTATTACCAAAATCACTACATAAGTAAGATAATAGAAAATATATAATTTTTTCAATATTTTTCAATATTATTCAATTTTTTCGAAGTAGCCTTTGAAAGATTTTTTTAATGTTATATAAATAATTTACATACTCGTTATATAAAAGGGTTACATAAATGTATTAAACTTCGTATAAACCTCCTTTAACCCCTCCCCCGATTTCCCCAAAATTGGTATAAAAAAATAAAATTAGGTACCAAAAGTGCAGGTAAAAATAGGGAATATGCTAGTCAAAATAAAGCCTTGAAATTTGGCATACTCATAGAAAAAATATAAATTTAAGCAAAAGAATAAGAAAAAAATAGGAACATATTTTCAACATTTATTAAGCTCACGAAATGCAACTTAGTTTTAGATGTCAATAAATTCTATATTTTTTAATGAAAAAACAACTAAACTGTAAAAAATTTGACTATTCTTCTTTTAAAAAATACTCTATGTAAATATAAAATTCTAATTAATTATTCAACAAAGCACCATCCTACAATACCAACAAAACGCAAAGTTCTAAAAACATTGAACATAATTTTAGTACAAAAATCGGTTTCGTTTATACGGAGCCGATTTTTGCCGAAATCTGCGATATTTATGTATCGCCGAAATCCGTTCCGATATACGTATATCGCCGAGATGCCGAAATCCGCGGTATACGTATATCGCGGATTTCGACATACCTATTATGGTCAAGGAGCTGAGGAGGAGGGGGGGGGGGGGGAAAGGGGTTATACGGCCGGCGTAGTTTGTTTTTAGTCGGAATAGTTAGTAGTCGAAATAGTAAAGAAGATTTTTTTGACAAGAATTGATAAGAAGGCCCGCTCATGAAATGTAAAAACTTTTATGACGTCACTTTTGTAGTCCGATGTTAAGTTTTTCGATTAGCTATTTGTTTCCAATCTCAAGTTGTAAATATTAAAAATTTAGTTTTTATATTTTCAATGCAGTTTATTATGAATTTAGTACATTTTAATCAATTTTTAAAAAATGTGTGAAATAATTAGTGTTTTTAAATTTTCAACCGATCCAAATATGAAAGATTTTTTTTTTTTTTTTTTAACATCTTCGCTTCCAACAAGGCTGCAAGCAACCACTAATTAGTTAACCAAAATTAACACAAGATTCTTCCCATCATTAGTTCTTAACATTTCTTTTTATTTACAAATAAAATTTATATTTACAATCATCTACTTGTTGGAGTGTTTACTTATAATTTGAAGATTGAAAGCAGTTTGGTGGCTAAAGTACTTAACGATGAATGTAAACTTTCTTATTTGACTCAATTGTCCATTAAGTTAACACAAATTTTTCCTGGTAATAAAAATATTATATCCAGTTCAGATTTATGTTTTCATAATTCAATGTAATTTAAATAATTAATGTGAACGAGTTAAAGGCAGTAATAAGTATTCTACAGATGTTCATAAATGTTTAGTATTAATACTCGATGTTAATATATTATTAAGAGATTAATATATCGAGGTTGATAAATCAATAATATTTCATTTGTTCACATAAAAATATATTTTTATGTGAACAAATGAAATATTATTGATTTATCAACCTCGATATAGTCCTGATACTCTAGCTTTTAGTTTTTATCTGAAATGCTTGTCACAGTGCAAACATTTGTAACTTCTTTATTATCATCATACATAGATGTTGCTCAGTATCATTCAAAGATGTTGTTTCAGTAAAAAAATATGATTGCTATCTAATTAAAAGAAATACTATAAAAGTGGTTGATATGATAAAAAAATTGTGGTTACAAAGTTCTTTCTTTAATTTCAGACATTAGTCGGATTAATTGGAACATGTTTATTCTCTTTTGTAGTGGTAATTTTAAGCCATTTATTCAACATTCTTATGATTCAACAAGAAAACTGTTTTTCTATTTACTAGTGTACATCTATTGAAATGTATTCACAATAACTGGCTGAGACAACTTCACAATAATCATTATTTCTTTATCCTGGTTTTACTGATAATTCTAAATGTAATGCATGTATTTAACATATTTGAAAGTTGCACAACTTTGAAAAAGATGATATTGCTAAATTTGCTTCAAACTTGACAAATAATGCTCTTAACCTGACCACTATTGAAAGATAAAATGTTAAATTAGCTTTAAAATTTTCAAAGCCAAGGCCAACGGTTTGAAAGCCAAGGCTTTAATTTTCAGCCAAGGACTAACAACTCTGACAGGAACTCAAGCAAGATAATAATTGTAATCCTATCAATTACTTAAACAATGACTTTTTTATTTTGAAAATTTTTTTTTTTTTTTTGAATTCAATAAAATATTCAAAAATTTTTTTTGAATATTTTATTGTACAAGTCAAAGCCCATTCAAGCATTTTAAATGCCCATTACATAAGAAATATATAAACGAAATTTCAAATAAGTTAAATAAAATTTAAAAACAACAAAAATATTAAAAAATATTTACAATATGAATGTATATAAAGAACATAATCCAACAAAAATCAACTAATTTTTTCCTGCTTTAAAGCAGCATGTAAAAGTTAATGCTAAATTAAACTTATCTTCTATTAAAAGTAAGTACAGAGTTGTTCTCGATGTTGAGTATACACCTCTAGATGTTTAAATCTAGAATAGATAGGTATAAACCTACCTATTTATTTTTTGTTAATTTAGAATAAAACTTTCACATTTTTCAGTAAACTGTCTTGGATAGATAAAAAAGAATCTTTTAATGCATCTTTACCTCAGTTTTCTCAACTTATACCAATATGTATGTAAGACTTTAAAATAGAAAAATATACTTGTGTTTGTCAATCTCTTGCAAATAAGTTAGCATTTGCTACTTTAAAAACTTCTTATCGACCCAAAATTTCATCATCCAAGTTTTCTTAACAGTTTACTGTCAGTTTGCTGGCAAATATTTGCGTTTTTTTAGTGTAATTTTTTAAATTTTTTATAGTGTAATTTTTTAAACTTATAACTTTTTATTGATTTTTAGACCTATGTTTTTATATGATTTTTAATCAGCATAAAATTCCTTATTATAATGAATTATAAAAATAAAAAAAAGGAAAAAAAGATGAGGAGTAAAAACTGGCCATGAAAATGCTATGGAATTATATATATAATATGCGCACATAGTTATGGAATTATAAATATCATATACGCGCATAGTTAGTGTGGCAAATATGACTGCATTTTTTTTTACTCTTTGAGTTCCCAAAATTGCTGTGCAAAGAAAAAAATTATACTACCATTTACAGGCACTATACTACCATTTACAGGGTGGGGATCAAATTTGGTACTTCTCACTCATCAAGCAAATGCTTTATTCATTTAAACACTACCTTATAATTATGTCATGTTGTGTGGTAAAATCTTTCATATATATGTTATTAAATTAGATATGGTTACCATATAGGCCACACAAAACAAACGTTGTTTTAATTAAAAACAATATGGTCACATGTTGGTCATAAATCTTTTTTAACTTATAGAAAATCATTGTTGCAGAGAAATAGTTCAGTAATATAATAGCATATAATGAAAAAGAATAATTTCTTGCTAAAAGAACTTACTCTCATAAAATTGCCTCTAAGATCTTCTCGTGTCATATATGCTCATGAGAAAATTAAGATTACTTACACAAACATGACCTTTTGCATTACTCTTGTTTATTAAGAGTTTGAAAAATTCATTCATTTGACACTTTGAGAAAAAAACTGAACATGGCATCATTATTAATGTGACCAATGTTCTCCTATTTAGGCAGGAGAGCAGCATAGAAACCTTAGTTTTAGTTAGTTTTTGTACTGTGCTCTCCTGCATTAAAAAGGAGGGTGTTAGTCACTTAGTTTTTTTTTTCTTAATTTAGCTTTTTTAATAAAACCTATTTTTAAGGGTTTGTTTTAATATATATTTTTTTATATCCAGCTACAATCAAATAAAAAACTTTGATTTTGTAAAAGATGCTTTCAAAGAAAATGCTGCTGATTTTTCACAGTTGGTCTGGGAAGGAAGCGAAGTTGTTGGGTTTGCTAGTAAGAAAGCAGGAGATACAGTTTATGTGGTTATGTATTTCAATCCAGCTGGAAACAATGAAAGTTTAAGTTTTTATGATAATGTTCACAGAGTTACAGGATCTGGTGATATGCAGCAAAAAAGTATGATATTCTTTAAATATGATAATTTTGTTTACAAAATAAGTATATTATGTAAAAGATTTATGTTTATTTTAGTTTGAAGTAGATACCTAAAATGTTACATTTAATTAATAAAACATTATAAGTATCTATTTCAAATTAAAATATGTAATATTACTTAATAAATCATGTAACATTAATTAAGTGTAATTAATTTAATTAGTTACACTTAATTAATGCTACTTTGATCAATCATTTATACATTGTATAAATAATTGAGTATATTTAATAGGGAAAATAACTTTGTTAAAACCTAGAAAATGTAATGCTAAAACCAATAAACTATAATGCTAGAGCATTATATTTCAATGGTAATACAAATGTATTTTTCAAATTAATTTTAAACATTATTAAGTAAAAACTTAAAGTGTTTGTATATTTCACATGGTAAATGTACAAGATTGATTGATTGAAACAATCTAGTTCATATCTAATCACTGTTTAAAAGATTTTAATGGTTATTTATTATGTTAACTGTTTTTATTAAAGTATATGTATTTACCCCTGACATTTCGTGAAAGTTATGTTTCAAATATATATATATATATATATATATATATATATATATATATATATATATATATATGCATCAAGTTGGCAAAAAAAATTTGATACAAAGCCTTTACCATAAAACATAGAAATGAGATTGGCAGGTTTTTGCTGACCTCAAACACTTCAGTTAAATGAGCAAACAGGCAGTTAATTTGGCATTGCCGAATGCCAACCCTAATTCCAAGGTATATATATATATATATATATATATATATATATATATATATATATATATATATATATATATATATATATATATATATATATATATATATATATATATATATATATAGGCCTCGGCGGGAAGCGAGAGCTTTAGCTCTACCCACACTCCCCTAAAACAATTTACAGGAGCACTTTTTTTTAACATCTTCGCTTCCAACAAGGCTGCAAGCAACCACTAATTAGTGTTGGAAGTTGCTGGAAGATAAAAGATGAAGATTGTAGAGCAAGATAACGATTGACAGACGACTTAAAAGATTGCAAATTATATTAATCAGGAAAGCAAGATGAAGGAAGCAAATGCCAAAGAACTGATGTTCGAGAAAAAAAAACTAGAGGAATAAGAGTTTCTGGAGCACTTAGGAACAGTAACAGAAAAAAGGATGAGACTTAATTGAATGACGAGTAACACGATAATGAATTTTAGTAGATGGCACAAGAGACGCTAGCTCTTTAGAGCAGTGCCCATGATAGTATTTGTAGAAAAGACAAAGAGAAGCAATATTACGATGATGTGACAGAGGTTGAAGGTTGGCTGCAAGAGCAGATCCAACTATGTTTACAATGCGTATTTGCACCTTGTCTAAAAGATAAAGGGCATCATTAGAAGATCCGCCCCAGATATGGCAACAGTATTCCATACAAGGTCGGATTTGAGATTTATAGAGATAGAGAACAGAATCCAGAGTAAGAAAGTGTTGAGCTCAATAAAGAGATGCAACTTTAGCAGATGCTAATTTTGCAACGGATTTGATATAAGGTTTCCAAGAAAGATCAGAAATAAGAGTTAATCCTAGAAGAGGATTAACTCTCACTTCTGTGAGAGTTAATCCTCTTCTAGGATTAACTTTCACAGAAGTCATCAAGGACAACTTTTATACTACAATTGGAAAGGAACGATTCAATAATCTTAAAGATGTTTCCAGATAAGAAGAAAGCTTATGGAGAAGACCAGCATGCCAAACTTTATCAAACGCTTTAGAAATGTCAAGAGCAATGGCCTTAACCTCTCCACCTTTATCTAATGCACAATAAAACCTATCGGTTATTAATGTTAGCAAATCAGCCATAGAACGAGAAGATCGAAATCCATATTGATGGTCAGAAAGTAGGTTATGAGATTCAAGATGAGAGATTAAGTGTTTGTTAATTAAAGATTCAAAAACCTTGCTTATGATAGGAAGAAGACTAATGGGACGGTAGTTAGATGAATCGGATTGCTCCAGAGTTTTTAAAAATAGGGATAACAGATGCTGCTTTCCAGCAGGCTGGAAAACAAGACTCTGATAAGCACTTGTTAAATAGTTTTGAAAGGATAGACGACAGCTCCGGAGAACACTTCTGCAAGGCTATAACAGGTATATTGTATGGGCTGCAAGCTGTAGAAGAGTCTAAGCAGGAAATCACTTTAGATACAGAAGCTGGAGTGATATGGATGTCAAGCAATGGATCAACCTGTTTGATGGCTATATGAGGTAGAACGCAACTAGTGGAGTCAAGAGATTATATTGATGAAAAGTTTTTAGCAAACAATTCAGCTTTGTCTTTAGGTAAGGTGACAAAGTCTGAACCATACAAAATAGGTAGAATTACAGACTTGCCCTTATTATTGATACTATTAAAGATTCTCCATAAGTCGTTAGAGCCTAACTTTTGTGAGAATAGCGGGCTTTGGCGTTAGACAAAACCTTTACAGCTCTTGCACAAGTTTTTGCTCTTTTGCAAAAATGAAATACGCTAAGTCAAAAAAATTTAATTCATTGGATTATAAACAGGCACGGTTTTTGCAAAGTCAAAAAAATTTTTTACTTCTAAAGAATTTTTTCACGGTGCATCAAAGGACGCTTGCTATGTGTATATTATTGTAACATTAACATTACAGTTTAGATGAGCAGCTTGCATGACTTGCCATATTGGTTATAGTAGGGCTGTTCTCGGCTCTCTTTGCTTATTTACTCCTGCCGTGGCCTATATATATATATATATATATATATATATATATATATATATATATATATATATATATATATATATATATATATATATATATATATATATATATATATTGAAATTTCTTATTGAAAATGGTCTATTTCAACAACCGTATTTGGGCATCAATTTGGGCGCCGCCCAAATTAAAATTTGAGGACCTTTTAACATATTTGTAACAAATTTGAGGACCTATAATAACACATTTAGTATTTAAAAATGTTCCTAATGTTAAATTAAAAAATGTTGATAATGTTAAAGTGACTAGCATCAAGTACAAAGCTGGGAAAAGAGTGAAAAAGTTGTCTAAGGCATTTGTATAGCACAAATATAAAAGTACTCCCACAAATATAAAAACTCCCTTTGTTCCAAAATACTGTTCTGATTTTTATTCAATGTAAAGAATTATTAAAAATAAATTATTTAAAAAATATTTTTTTTAATTTTTCATTATAAAATATGTTTTATACATTTTTTCCGTATATAATTGATATATAAGTAAACAGTATAATTTATTTTCAATAACTCTTTATGATGCAAATGCAAATCGAAACAGTACTTTGGAACAGAGGTAGTGTACGATTTATTTAGATCAAGTTTCATATCTAATTCAGCAACAATACTAGTACACTAATTCAATAAACTTTCTCTCCATGAAGAAGCAAGTAGTACTAAATTATATTTTTATTTAAGTTACAGTAACACTTTCTGAAAAATATATGGGTTAAAAATTCTTATCTTAAGAAACATTTTTATATGAAATAAACAAAAATGAACAACTCTGTTACTTATATTGTGTTATAATTTTACTGTATTTTATAAGGGGTCGTCCATAAATTATGTCACGCAAATTTTGACAGTTTTTGACCTCCCCTCGTCACAAAATAGCAGCACTTTAGTAGCAAGTTTTGTATGAGTCGTCACAAAACCACTAGCCCTCCCTCCTCCCTTAGAGCATAACTTAATTTATGAACAACCCCTAACATAATTTTCTTTAAATAAATTAAAAAAAATTTTTTTTACATAATTTATTGCAATTTAATTTCAATAAAGGTTTAAAGTTTATCTTTTTACCCAGAATGCATCATAAGCATGTTTAATGATTAATAAAACTCAGTATTTTTTTTATCATTTTCGAAAAATTTTGTCTTTATTTTTATTTTAATATTTTTTAATATCCTTGTGAATAATTTAATCTATTATTTTATCAAAATTTTAGTTAAGTTTTTACCAAAAAAATGATTGTTTCACTTGTTATAGAATAACATCTTGATCTTTATTGATCATCATGATGTATATGTGATTGATTGATCTGTATTAATTAAATATTTAAAACAATAGAAAAGCAAAACAAATATAAAATTGTTGTTTTCATTCTGGAATTTTATTAAGTGCGGAAAATATATTAGTTCCTTAATCTTTTTGATTTATGGTTTTTTATATTTTATTATTTTTTATTATTTATTATTTTTTATTATTTTATTATTTTTTATTATTTTATTATTTTTTATTATTTTATTATTTTTTAAAATTTTTTTAGGACTAGTGCTTAAATTAAAAAAATTTCAGTTAAAACACTTACATAGGTTTAAGTTAAACACTACACTTACATAGGTTTAAGTTAAACACTACACTTACATAGGTTTAAGTTAGATATGTTATACTATTTGTTTCGTATTTTTTATAATAATTTGTTAGTAAGAAGTTTTAATTTAAAAAGTTGATCTAGTTTTGTTAAAGAAAGAATTATTTACAAAGTTTTAAAAAGTTTTTAAAATTATTTTAGTAAAATGTCCAGATGGCTGGAAAGCTAACAATGGAAATTGTTACAAATTATTTGAAGAAGAAATGGCTTGGGCAGATGCTGTTGATCATTGTAACGTTCTGAAGTCATCTTTATTTTCTGGCGAAAGTGTAGAAGAAGGAGCATTTTTAAAAAGTAAGCTTAGATGTATGTTCATAAAGTCCATAATTTTAATTGTCTATATTTGTCTAAGTATCTATATTTATTTATTCAATTTTGATTAAGCTATGTTGGTTGGAAGAAGCTCTCCATCTTGGATTGGAATGTCAGATATGGCTGCAAAAGGTGGATTTCAGTTTGTAGACGGCACTCCATATGTATATTCTGATTGGAGCAGAGAATCACAACAACTTGTTATTGATTTGTGGAACACAAAGAAAGAAACTGTTAAAAATCAATGTATTACTGCATCTTATGAAGGATGGAATTATAAGGTGCTTTTTAAGTTATCAATATATTAGGGTGGTTCAAAAAACAACATTAAAAAAAAATATCTGCAGCATGCACCTTAATGTGTTCTATATGAAATTTTTTGAATGAAAAATAATTTCAGATGTGCCTCAAGACCCTTGAATTTGACAGGTTTCTAAAATAAGTTAAAAAAGAGTTTTTTAAAAGTATGTCTTGTTTGGGTATCAAATGAAGCAAAATTATATTTAGTTTTAAAAATAATCTTCATTTTATTAAAAAAAATATTTTTTTATATTTTCATGCTTAAAAAATTTTACTAAAACTTTTACTGCTTAAAAAATTTTACTTAAACTAAAAATGAAAAAAGTTTATTTGACAAAATTTTTTGATTATCATTTTTTTTTATGTTTACTGTAAAATAATAATAATTTTTCTTCATTTGAGATCAAACAAGTTATACTTTTGAAAAACTCTTTTTTTATTAATATTTGAGACATTTTAAATGTTCAAGGATCTTAAGACACTTCTGAAGATATTTTTTATTTGAAAATTTTTTAAATGCTGTTTTATTTTATTATAATACACATTAAGATGCATGCTGCAGATGTTTTTCAAAAATGTTTTTTGAACCACCCTAATATATATATATATATATATATATATATATATATATATATATATATATATATATATATATATATATATATATATATATATATATATATATATATATATATATATATATATATATATATATATATATATATATATATATATATATATATATATATATATATATATATATGTTTTATGGTAAAACTTTTGTATGAAATTTTTTTTTGCTGACCTGATGGCGACCTCAAGCAGATTAAGGTCGCCAAATTATTGCCTCATTTTTCCTTATTCCGAGGGCTACATATATGTGTGTATATATATGTGTATATATATATGTATATATATATATATATATATATATATATATATATATATATATATATATATACACACCAGTAGAAATAACTAATCAGTTTTTTCATGTTTCCATAATCAAGACTCTTCCAAAGTTGTCCATAAATTATGTCACGCTTTATGAGGAAAGGAGGAGGGGTTAGTAGTTTTTTGACAACTTCTATAGGATTTGTTATGAAAGAGTTAAAAAGTAGTGATGAGGGGGGCTCAAAAATGGTCACAAATTGCATGACATTTTATGGATAACCCTCAAAAAATCTTTTCTGAAGAGATTTAAAAAAAAAGGATTTTATGAAAAAACATTGTGTAAAATGAATAAACTGATATGTTATTTCTAATAAATTAGTACTGTTCTGTTCTTTTAATAATATTTATCACTCTTTTTTGTAGTATACATTTAAAATTTTTGAAAAAAATGAAAAATGAGGTCGGCAATAATTTGGCAACCTTAATCAACTTGAGGTCGCCATTAGGTCGGTAAAAAAAATTTATATATATATATATATATATATATATATATATATATATATATATATATATATATATATATATATATAATATAAATATATATATATATATATATATATATATATATATATATATATATATATATATATATATATATATATATATATATATATATATATATATATATATATATATATATATATATACAATAGCAGCCCTGTTTGCCATGATTTTTCAATTGTCAATGGAACAAGCAATTGTACCAAAGGCTTGGCTTATAGCTAATGTAACTCCATTGTTCAAAACGGTTCTAAGGCTGACCCTACAAACTACATATTGATTTCCATCACTTCTGTACCATGTAAGATAATAGAAAGACTGGTTAAAGATAAGGTCATGCATCATTTATTATCTAACGACCTTCTCTCCCAATGTCAACACGGATTTGTCAGCAAAAAATCATGCACTACAAATTTACTCGAAAATATGGACTTTTTGACTTACACTTCATCACAAAAGCTACCTGTTGATGCCTTATTTCTCGATTTTGCCAAAGCATTTGACAAAGTTCCTCACAAAAGGTTACTAAGAAAGCTTGAATCTTATGGAATTAGTGGAAATGTTTTAAATTGGATTAATGCCTTTCTTTTAACAGAACACAACGTGTCCTCCTTGGTAATGTTGTATCCGATTGGAAACAGGTTACTAGTGGCGTTCCTCATGGCTCAGTTCTTGGTCCAACACTATTTATATTCTATATTAATGACTTACCAGAACACAATAGCAGCAAAAATGAATGCAAAATGTACACAGATGACACCAAAGTCCTCATTGTAGTTAACACTTTAGAAAGCAAACTTGGTCTGCAATCTGACATTGATAATATTGTCAATTGGACCCAATTATGGCTCACGCAACTTAACATCAAAAAATGTAAAGTTATGCACATCAACCAATCAAAATCTGTTCCTCACATCTACTTCATCAATGAAAACGACTCCAATAGCGAAGTCAAAAGAATCCAGCTAGAAACAACAACATTGGAAAAAGACCTTGGTGTTCAACTATCTGTTGATCTAATGTACAAAAGTCAAGTGTTCACCGCTGCTGCTAAAGCAAACAAAATCTTAGGTATGTTAAAGCGCACCTTTGTTAGCAAAGATGTAAAAGTCTGGAAAAACCTCTATACAACATACGTACGTCCACATCTAGAATATTCTATCACCACCTGGTGCCCTCACCTTAAAAAAAACATTACTGAAATTGAACAAATACAACATCGTGCCACAAAAATACCTCATGTATTAAATACCTTGATTACAAGACAAAATGTGATATACTTGGAATAACTTCACTAAGTGACAGAAGAAAACGTGGTGACCTTATCCGAAAATTCAAAATTTAAAATTAAACTGAGTTAATCAACTGGCATATTGACCCAATATACATTCCTCCCATCTATGGTCATTGCAAACACTTTCATCGCAAAATTAATAGCAACTGCCTTTGTTTGACTTAACTTTTTCAACAATCAGGTTGTAAATACTTGGAATGCTCTGCCGGATGATGTTGTCAACGTCTCTACTATCGACAATTTAAAAAAGACCAGCAACTCACATAGTTACCACAGTGCATCATTTTCCGTGGCTGTATTATCGCAGCTATACGAGCTAGATTTCTAGCTCATGATAAACTTGTGGTTCATATCTGTACCGTGTAACTTTATTGTAATTGTAATTAATTTAACAAATACAATTTAATACTAAAATATGTAAAAATGTATATATATATATATATATATATATATATATATATATATATATATATATATATATATATTTTAGTATTAAATTGTAAAGTTACACGGTACAGATATGAACCACAAGTTTATCATGAGCTAGAATATATATATATATATATATATATATATATATATATATATATATATATATATATATATATATATATATATATATATATATTTATACATACATACATACATGCATACATATATACATAGACACAAGCATGTATATTAAGAGGTTTTTTAAATTTATTTCTCTTTTAAGGATTGCTTTAAAAAACTGCCATTTGTTTGTAAGATGAGGCCAAACGGTATGACTAGTTATTCGCTAGATTTATACTTTCCTGGTAGTTCTTTCACTGATGATCTATATGATATCAACAGCCAACGATATGCAACAATGAAAGGTGTTATAACAAAAGCTGTAAGTTATTTCTAATTTTAAAAATATAAATTATTGATTTTATGAAAGTATACATGTTATTGTTTTTTTGAAACTTTTTAGTTTAACGAATCATACGGTAAAGACATCTGGTTTGTTGGTTCAACGTTTTATCAATTTATGTAAGGACGCATTTCATGAATGTTTTATTTTTATTTTTTAATGCTCATAAAAAAGAGAAAAATGTTTGTTTAAGGTCTCGTGAAAATGGTGATGTTGCTGCATCGACATTGCTGCGGTTTGCTCCTGATGTTCGTGCACCAGTTGACCCTATTACTAAATTAAGAGATTATTTAAGAGGACAGACTGATCTAAAAATATTATCTGTTCGTTTAATTCCAGGTGCGTCATCAAAGTTTTAGTTTGTGTTCATTTTTAAAGCACACAAAATTAACTTTATAAATTTAGTTTAAATTTATAAAAGCATTAAATTTCTACTAAAATGTATAAAATTTATTTTGTGCAAATATTGTTTAAATTAGGTTCTGGTCGAGGACTCCTTCCTAATCAAATTACTGGAACATGTCCTTCTGGTTGCAGTGGAGACTGCTACCCAGAGTGTAAACCTGGATGTTGTGGTCAGGTCAATTTAAATGCACCTGTTCAACCGTCTGGTTATACTGCTTGTTCTCAATACCCAAATTGTGGCCTATCGTGTCAGTCTAGTTGTTCTCAGTCATGTTGTCAGCAGAACCCTTATCAAGTATAATTTATTTAAATATTTAATTAGAAATTTGTATTTTTATAATTATTTTATAATTTTGTTTAAAATTTGCATAAACAGCCATCAGTGATGAGTGGTACAATAGTCATTCAACCTAACGAACAGAGTGTTTGCCCCCAACACCCTGGTTGCAGCCAACATTGTGCGCCAAGATGCAGTCCTCAATGCTGCCAACAATCAATGAACTCGCTATATCAGCCACCTCAAATGTCAGCTTGTCCACAATTTCCAAGTTGCTCTCCAACATGCGCCCCACAATGCTCTCAGCTATGCTGCCAACAATCATCAATGCCTCTTCAGATGCCACAAATGCCATCTTGTCCACAGTTTCCTAGCTGTTCAGCTTCATGTGCACCACAATGCTCTCAACAATGTTGCCAACAACCATCAATGTCAATTCAGCCGCTGCAAATCTCATCTTGTCCACAATTTCCAAGTTGCTCTCCATCATGTGCACCACAGTGTTCTCAACAATGCTGCCAACAACCATCAATGCCTATTCAATTACCTCTAATGGGTTCCTGCTCACAAATGCCTGGATGCTCAGCATCATGTGCACCACTTTGTTCTCAACAATGCTGTCAGCAACAGTCTATGCTTCAGCAGTCAATTATGCAACAACCAATGATGATGGCACAAAACCCTTGCTCTCTTCAGCAACCTGGATGCTCTAGCGCTTGTGCACCAGCATGCAGGCTAAGTTGTTGTAGTCTTGGACGAATGAATCTTGGGCGCAAACGAAGTCATGTGCATCATAAGAAACTAAAAACCTCCCGTAAGAAAAAGCAAAGTAAAGCCTAATATATTCATGTTTAGTTGAAAAGCAACTTTAAAACACTGTAATTAAATCATTCTCACGCGATTCCATCATCACGCGAACAAAAGTTTGTTCTTTGAAAATTTTTTGAATTGTTGCGTACACCTTTTTTTTTCTTTAAATTGATATTCTAACATTTTTTTTAATGCAAGATTTGCACATCGTCATATAAAACTGAAGAATTTTTTTTGAAACGCACCTTTTGATACCGAAATATTTTTTTATATAAATGTAAAACAGAAAATAAATTTATACTGATGATCTTTATTATTTTTACTCTGTTAAACTCGAAATATTTGTTTAAAAAAAGTTTGAACAAAGGTTTGAGTGTTAAAAAAATTAGTTTAAATAAAATGAAAAATTTCAAAACAGTTCCTCTTTCCGCTTACAAATTGCAAAATTTTTATCGAAACCCTCTGCACTTTGTACTCTGAACTGAACTCTGCATCTGAACTGAAAAGTACTTCTGGAAACTAATATGTTTATAAATAATTTAATTATCGCTTTTCTCAAAAATTAAATAAATTATTTTAAAATGTAACATACTATTCAAGAAAATATTATAATTATATGGTTTAAAAAAAAAAACAATTTAAAAAGAATATTTTCTTTTTATCCTAGAATCTTCTGACCTTAATAGTAGATTAACTTTGTTTAAGGATTTTCTTAAATTGCATAAATTTTCTGATTCTACTTAAATTAAAAAATTCGCAATTTACACTAGACGAAGTTAAGCTCCAGTTGGTTGCAAATTTACGTTACCTCGTTGAAATAGGTAAAGTTATCCTTATAATTCTTTGATATCACTGTCATACACAGTTTTTCTTTCCCATATAGCAATAAGTGTATTTTTGTATGTTTTTTCAAAATAAGCCCTTACGTTTTTTCAAAATAAGCCTGTACATTTTTTTAAAATTTTATCTGTAGTGTATTCTATGCCATAATTTTATTGATCTTTGTTTTCATAATAAATATTATTGACATGGCTACTCAAAAATGTTTGAATTCTTCTGATTTGTTTTGCTACGTTTGTGGATTTTTTACCGATGTTGACCACCGAAAAACAATGACCCCTTAATTAAATAAAGCTTATGAACTTTATTTCGACTCCAAAGTTGATAATGCGGAGAAACAGTGAAAACCCAATATTATTTGCTCCATTTGTGCGAAATCTTTAGCAGGATGGTTGGAAAAGTCACCTAAACACAAGTCAATACGCTTTGCAGTTCCAATGATATGGCGTGAATCAACAAATCATGTTACTGATTGTTACTTTTGCATGATAGTAATAGAAGAATTCTCATTTAAAACTCGTAAATCAGTATTATATCCCAACATTCAATCTGTGTCTAAGCCAGTCCTTCACAACCCCGTAAACTGTCCAGTTCCAATTCCCCCTGATTCATACTCTTTTGCGCTCAAAATGATTATTCTCAGAATGACAATGACAATCAAGGTAGTCCAAAAAATATTAACGATTCTAATGATAACTACATTCCTGAAAGCAATGTAATTTATTTAGTAAATAATGCAGAGTTTTTAGATCTTATGCGTGATGATAATATCTGCTACTGTAATGATATTGACAATCTCATGGCACGTCTTGGTCATGAGTATGAAGTCAAAAATTGGCGTCTCTTCATTGATGCATCAAAAGCCTAAAGTTCGTGCTGTTACATTACGGCAATGTGTTGCCATCCATTCCAGTTGCATACCCCACACAGTTGAAAGAGACTTATGACAACATCAGTATTGTTTTAATAAAAATAAAATGGTTACAAATGAAGAGTGTGCGGAGAATTAAATGTCAATGCAATCTTCATGGGTATACAACTCGGATACACAAAATTTTACTGCTTCGTCTATGAATGGAATAGTCAAGATAGAGATGCATACTATAGAAAAAAAGATTTTATTAGACATCATATGGAACCTGGTCAAAAAAATGTTTTGCATAAACCACGGGTTTTAAAAAAAGACATATTACCACCTTTACATATCAAGTTAGGTTTGATGAAAAATTTCATAAAAGCTTTGGATAAGATAAGTGATGCCTTCACATATCTTCGCTCCAAGTTTCCACGAATAAGTGGTGCTAAAATATAGAAAAAAATTTTTGTGGGCCCTCAGATCAGAAAAGTAATAGGTGATCAACATTTTCTAGATGTACAAGTGGAAAAGATCTTAAGGCATGGCTAACTTTTAAATCCGTTGTTGCCAACCTTTTAGAAATATTCTGTATTTGGGAATTTCCAGAATATCTCGGCGAGGTCAGTGATGAGCATGGAGAGCGTTTCCATCAGGAAATTGCTTTGATGGAATCACAATACCAAGGACAATCGAGTAATGCCATGCAAGCAGACTACTGCTGGTTGCTTCAACGGGATGCCCCAGAAGTAAAATACCATCGGAAGTCAATATGCAAGAAATTTAAACCTACTCAATAAGCTTGATATTTGTTTTGAATCATATTGTTTGCGAGCAATGACAAAACTTTCAATTTATCTCTTTTTTTAATAAAATGATGTATTTTAAATAATAAAAGTCTTGGTAGAATTTTTGTTAATATTTTCATTGATAATATTATAGAATATCAGTATATTAATTTATTAAAGTGGTATTTCATTTCAAGTTTTCTTAAAATTTTGATGTGATACAAGCAAATAGATTACATATTTGAAATTGGCATGTTAAAATTAACAAGAAAAACATCCATTCATTAAAGAAAGTAAAAAAATTTTTTTTTTGTATGTCAGAGTATTTGTGTCAAAATCAGGGATAAACAAGTCTCATTAGTCTGATAAACAAGTCTCAGTAGTCTGATAAACAAATCTCAGTGATAAACAGATTTAATTTGTTTCGAATAAGGATGGTAGGCACGTCATTAATTTTAAAGAAAGAATGTAGATAATATTTTTGTACTTTGATATGCTGAATAGGAGTTTTAATGCTGATTTTCCGCCAGCGTCTAATATATTAAAAAAATGTAATGTTATAATTTCAAATTTCTAAGCCCTATAATAAATTTGGTACATCCAGAGATTTGAATAAACACACTATAGCTAGTGGCTGACAAAAGTAAACTTCAGATTTTATAAAAGCTCTGAAGTTTGATCAAAATTGAATAATGCGTTCGTTTACATTTTCAGTTTGAAGAGTAGCTTATTTTGTATACGGTCTTGATTATCCCGTAGGAAGATGAGATATTTTAGGTCATTATTGAGATGTCGGGAAGAACCGTTAATTTGAATTATGTTTTTTGTAATTGAAATTTTACCGGACATAATGAACTCGGTTTTTTTGGTGTTAAGTTTATTATAAACGTTTTTGTATTGTGTTTGAACTTTATTAACTAATTCTTGTAGTCCAAAAATTAGAACTTTGTAGCACTATATCGTCTGCATAAGTAATAATGCCTGAGTATATTCCACTTACTGTTGTTCCAACTTTGCAATCTGAAACAGTTTGATCTAATATACCTTCAGTGTAAATATTGTACAAATGTGGCGATAAAATAGGTCTTTGTCGCAATTCTTGCCACAAATGGAAATGATTTGATTTATGTTCGACGTATGATATACTAGCAATACCCGAGCTAAAAAGATTGCAATGCGCAAACTACTGTTGGAGATAAACTTTTGTTGTAATAGAGTTCTTTAAACAACAAGTCCCAGTTAAAACTGCAGATACATACTTATGATTTACTATTATTGTAGTCTTTTACTGTTTCAATCAAAGGAAATTTTATCTGAAATGTTGAGCTATTTTGCTTGAAAAAAAGTTGACGAGAGTGGCTGTCTGATATTTCCAGACATACTTGCATTATAATATACTCAAAGAGTTTGGTCAAAATAGGTATGAAGCTATTTCGCGGTAGTTATCTGAATTATCAAGAGGTTTTTTATAAGATTTAATTATTGGAACAAGAAGTGGATAAGTACTCTGGGACCGTTCCATTTTTAAAGATATTATTATAAAACATCGAAAGCCATATTAAGAGGTCGTTTTTAAAAGAGTATTTTAAATACTCTGCAGTAAATGTATTATGAATTGTGGAACATTAGGTATTTGTTGTTAGTAATTGTGGGAGTGTTGAGAGTTGTATTAAAGCTTTGTGGGAAGCATTTTATTTTTATATTTTCACATGTTGTTTGAGTTTCTTTTTCTATTAATTCTTCAATAAAAGTGTAATCTTTAAAAGAATCAGAGAGATTCTGATTATATTTTATAATAAAACTGAGATCATTACAAGCATAATTATCATTCCAAGCATAATTAGGGATTGTATTGTATTTTTTAATTATATTATTTATAATTAGTTTTAGATTTTCATTTTTAAGAATAATATTTGTAGCAATATGGGTAAAATGTCACTCATGTTTAAATGTGAAGGAGGAATAATTTGACAGTTAATAAAGCATCTTTATGATTCCTTTAAGGCGGCAGTGTGATCGACGATGAATTATTCAGTATTTTGTGTTTATAGGTATAGCTAGGACCAGTACCATTATTCATATAAAAAAAAATGAGCTCATTTAATTCAAGAAAACTGGAGCCTAGCTGGCTTTTTCAAAGTTTTATATTTCACTGTGTTTGTACTAAACCTTTACTGTCATATGAGCGCTAGCATTATCTTGCTAAAAAATAAATTTTTACAACCAATGATAGATGCCTTCGTTTTTCCATCAATAAATTGAATTTCTGATTTATTGTGATACCCAACGCACACCAAATCATTATATCACCACCACCCATCTGGCACCATTGTCGTACTTCAGTTTCTTTAGGCAAATCTTAAAAATAATAATTCCATTTCTCCGGGCCATCAAGACAAATTGGTTTTTTGTTGAAAACTACTACTCGTTGTCATTCTTCTTTTCATTTTACGTGGTTCTTTTGCAAAAGTCAAAACTTTAAGGGTTTTGTTGTCAATATTGGTTTTTGCTGAAGTTTTTTCCGCCCGAGGTGAAAATCATCATGAATAGCTCAATGAATAACTAAAGTCATCATGAATAACTCAATGCAAAAATTAGCATAGTCATAGTCAAATTTGCTTCTGTAGCAATTTGATGTGCTGTTAATGAACAACAAATTTTTGCTTTTACTGTTGTCAAATGTTGACGGATATTCGGAACTTTTTTTATCATTCTATAAAGTAAATCATGCTGAAAAGAAATGGAATTTTTTATATTTTATCAATATTTTTGCTTATAGTTCTTATGTATGACAGAGAAATGTATATGTATGACAG